TCCAGCGGTTCTTTCCACATATGTAATCGATCTGATTCCTATGCATCAACAATACGTAATAGAAAAACAAAACAAAACCCAAACCCACATGTGGTTGTGTGCTGTTGAGTCAGAACCAACCCATAGTTGACCCTCCGGTGGGTTTTCAAAGGCATTTAATCACACAAGTAGAGGTTGCCCATTCTTTTCCCATGGAGAAGCTGGTGGGTTCAAACCACATGCCACATGGGATTGCAGTGCAGTGTCTTACCACTAGGCCACCAGAGCACCCTAACATATATATAGATGTATGTACACACATATGGTATATATACACAAGAGAGCTCTGGTGGCCTCGTGGTAAGGAGCTGTGCTGCCAACCCAAAGGCATGCAGTTCAATTTCACCAGCTCCTCAGGGAAGGAAGATAGTCTCTTCCCATGTGATTCACTGTCTCTGAAGACCTGCTGGAGGATCAGCTATGAGTAAGATCTGATTCAAGAGTACATAACAACCACAACATATATGTACATAGACTAGTACATATAGTGCATAGATGGTCCCTTTCCTTCTTTGGGGATCTCCCCTGAGGAAACCTCAATGTAGCCTGCAGCCTCTGGCTCCCTGCCTGTGGCTCTGGCCCCGAGCTGCTCTGATCTAGAAAGCAGTAGGAGAAAGTGGCTCACAGGACATAGTAGACATTGAAGTCATCTGCAGAGAAGGTCTGCTGAGACGTCATTGCGATGGAAACTTCAGTGGAACCACTTGGACTTGCACTTCTATTCAGGAGCTACGTGTAATCCCTTAAACGTCATTTTCTCCAGGCTTGTTACTTTGGCTCCTTTTGTTGGTTTTAAACTCTTATCTGCCCCTCCCCCTTTCAGTAACTGCAAAGAGCTCTTCCTCTGCATTCTAGGCACCATTCCGATTTGGATTTTTCCATGAGTCATAATGCCCTCCATTCACCCTCAGCATTCTAACACATTGCCGTGAGATATGGCTGTTGCAGCTGCTTTTAGATCTCAGAGAATGAACTGCGCATTTAGCCCATCTTCCCAGTCACACAGTTTCTCTTGTCTGTGGCACATAAACACAGGCTCGACCCCCAGGTAAACAAATTTCCCTTGTGTTTAACTTTTCCAGGGAACTGATCTAGGAAACTGCATTTGCTTCAACAAGTTGCTCACATTAGCAGACAGAGGACAAGTAAGCTAACTCGGCAAAACAGTAAGACCCAGCCTGTGCTCAGATTTCAGGATTCCATTTTGAGACACTGGACTAGCATCTGCCTACCGGTCCAGTCAAGAGGCCTCTTGTCTTGACATGTAATCCATACTGAAGGCTTTGACTTGCTGCAGTAAGCGCCTGAGGTCTCCTTGTTTTCGGTGAGCAGAGTTGTGTCTTTTTTTTTTTATTATTACTAAATTTTATTAGTTTTAATGAACATTTACACAGAGTCTTAATGCCACATTCTCTTCCTTAAAGTCCAGCCTCTCGAATGATTTGCTCAGCATACGGACCGGATATGTCTACAGGCCTGATGAATACCTTTCTTGATTTTAACCATGCAGTGTTCCCTGGCTTTGTTTGAAAAACAGCCTTCTGATCTAGGTTTAGGTTTCACATGCGCATTGTTAGGGGTTCTGGGAAGAAGAAGATCAAAGTAGTTAATGATTTAATCTTGCTTGTATTCACAATCAACAGCAACAGCAGTCAAGAAATTAAAGACGTGTTGCGATAGGGAAGCCTGCTGTTGGGGAGCTCTCCCAGGTACTGAAGAGCAGCAATGTCAGCTTGAAGTCCAAGGTGCGTCTGATTCAAGCTATAGTCTTTGCAATCACACTCTATGTATCTGAAAGTTGGACACTGACTAAGGATGACAGTAGCAGAATCAATGCCTTTGAGCTGTGGAGTTAGAGACGACTGTCAAAAGAGCAAACAAGTATGCCTTCGAGAAAGTGCAGCCAGGGTGCTCCTTGGAGGAGCACCTCATATACTTTGACATGTTGTTAGGAAAGGCCAGTCCTTAGAAAAGGATATCATGGGGTGGGGGTGGGGGGGAAGAAAAGTACAACAATGAATGAATGGAAATCCAAAATCTCTGTAATTTTTCACTGAAATTAAAAAAAGAAAAGGACATCATGCTTGAAAGGGTGGAGGGTCAGCGATAGAGAGAAAGACCCTCAACAAGACGGATTGACTCAGTGGCTGTAGCAGTGCACTCGGATGTATTTGGTCTGGTGAGGACGGCACAGGACAAGGTAGGGTTCCGGTCTGCTGTTCATAGGGTCGCTATGAGTCATGGTCAATGTGACAGCATCTAAAAGCAACAGCAATGGCTGTTTGGGGAGCTCTGGTGGTGCCGTCAATAAGGACTTGCGCTGCCCACTTCACATCCACCTGTGCCTCCATGGCAGAAAGATGGACAGTCTCTTCCCAGGCCATTTACAGTCTCTGAAAACCCACTGGAGGGTCAGCTCTAAGTGGGTTCCAACTTGACAGAAATACCTTTTAGAGTCTGACTGGTGTTCAGGGCCAATATATGAAAAAGCATTTTGTTTCCATTAATATGGGTGCATTACTTTAAAAGTTCAGCAAGTCCAAGGGAGCTCTGGTGGCCTAGTGGCAAGAAGCTGTACTGCAATCCCAAAGATACACGGTTCGAATCCACCATATGCTGTGCCGGAGAAGGAGGGACAATTTCCTCCTGTACCAGTCAGATCTGAATTGACGGTACATGCACAAAAAAGAATAAAAAAATTTTAAAGTTCAGCAAGTCCAGAAAATATCCCTTTCCCCAGCCCCCTCTCTTTAATATAAAAAGGAAGTCTTTCAGTTCTGTTCAACGCTGGTATCTCTTCAGAGGTGACTGCACCTTGATCCCATCTCCCTGCCTGCTTCCCTAGAGAGAAATACATTCTCTAATTGATATATGCTCTTCTTGGGCAATTATGACTTGTCCATGTCCTCACACACAAAACAGTCTTGCTTTGACTTTAACACTTTTACCTAAACAACAGTTTCTCAGTTTTGGCCATGTTCTGTGTTGATGTAAGTTGCCATTAATAAAGCCGAACGTACACGGAAGCTTTCGATTATTTTTACAACTTCATGTGAGTCCAACTATTTAAAAATAAAAATATTAGAAATTTACATAAATATTACCAGAGTAGTAGTATTAGTATTCTATACCATTGATCAGACTACAACTCATAGAGACACTAGCAACAGCAGATCTGCACCTTGCTCTGTCCTGCCCTCCTCACAGTCTTCCACATGCTCCTTGTCACAGCCCCTGGGGCAGCCCATCTTTTTTTTTTTAATTAATGATTTTTTTTAATGCAACGTGTATTTTTTACAGCATTTTTTCCATTTAATTTCCCCCCATTCATTCATTCATTCTTGAACATTTTCCTCCTTGCCCACCGCACCCCCCAGTTTGTTTTTCTCTTTGAAAAACCCTTTCATTGTTATACAGTCCCCCCATGTCCACAGTCTACTTTACTATGCATTTCTTTTTCTGTAATCTTGTCAT